AGAGGAAATTCTCAACAAAGATTGGGAACATCAGGTGAAAGATGATCTCAGTCTAATAAAGGCACTGATAAATATATAAATATCACTTAGCTGGGCAGGATACGGTTGCAAAGTCATGCAGACGGAAGTGACACACTATGACACAAAATTTATTCATATAATGAACTAATTCAGCAAGGAGTATAACATTGAAACAAGTGAGTTGCTATGCGCTATTAGAGATTTAGATGGAAACATTAGATTTAAAAAACACTCAAAGTCTTTACTTTATATCTTTCCCAAACTAAATGAAGATACCTGGGGACATGCGATGACTTGTAGAATGCATACTTAGTGGTAAAGCCCTGGTATCAAGCCTCTAGTCTAGCACTACTTTTTTAATACCAGTAAAAGATCAGGAAACTCCCTCATCATCTGTTCACCTTTCCAGTTGCAGCCATAGGGCCAGCTGATAGTTAATGTTTCTCTGTATTACTAATAACTCCCTACGCCAAAAAAGACACACCCAGGAACAGTGACTCAGGGAGGAACCAAGACCTGAATGCAGGAAATGCAGTACAGAGCAACTCAGGAATTACTCTGCCCTAATTCTCACTAGACTTTTGCTTATGTGTCTCCTTGAGTCTATATTTCACAAGAGTAAGATTCACATCTCACAGGAGCAGCTAGCCTAGAATTAGGAAACAGAGAGGGAAATAGCATTCTGGTTAAACATTTACATATTCAAGACTATCAGAAGTTATAATTTATGGATATCTACTACTCAGTGGCTAGGAGAAAAATTACTTTAATGAAAGATTACTTTTTAAAAGTAATTAGAGAGGATACTGTCTTAAGAGGCATTCACAGTAATTAGGAATACATGCATATATCATCTTGGGAACACCTCCTGAGAGACAAATAATAACCTGGGAAAAGTCTTACTAGACACTATCAGACTTTACAAAGTTGACCCAAATGTAATTATGTCAATCACATAGTGAAAAATAGAAAGGGGTTAGAAAAAGAGCCAGTAAATATAGGCCTTTTAAGCACAAGATGTTAAGTGCAATTAGATTTTACCAAAGGAAAAATTCTCAAGTAACAAAATAAGTAAGCATACAGATAAAGAAAAGAAAAGAAAAAGAAAGCAAAAGAGAATTTTAAAAACCCTCTAAATAACTTCTAAGTGACAACTAGAAAAAATAAATGAATCAATAAAAACAAATCTATAGATTTCTAAAATATTATAAAAGCAGAATGATTCAGGGATTATATTACTTAAGATAGAAACTGTGAAGATTAATAAACAGAGCCTTAAATTGGAGTTGGGAGGGCCTGCAGGGGGAGCACTCTTGTCTCACTTCTCATTGTCAGTCCCCAAACAGAAAGACACTTATTTTCCATTTCAAACAGGAAGATGATTTTCTACTACTCCAGCAGAAAAGAGGATCTTCTCTTTGCCCAGCAACCACTCAACCAATGAAAACTGTTACTACTCAGACAATGAAAGCCACTAAACTTCAAATTCTCAGTTTCTTCCAATGGACTTTGTTTACGACATGCCTTCTGAGTCCCCATTTCCTCTATAAAAGAATGTTTCTCTCCTTTATTCTCTGGACTTAAGCATGGTTTGCCACTAGACCGCATGTCCCAAATTTCAATTCTTTGTTGTCCTGAATAAACAAATTTTCATTGAAGAAATCACTAGCTATTTGTTTAAGGTCAACGAATCAAACTTATATAAATTAGTGAAATTCAGAAACGAAACATTTCCAGTATAGATAGATAAGATATAATATCATTTTTATTTCCTCTCTCAAGGGACTAGAAGGTTCACTTGGTGGTTATGATCAGACTTCAAATATTTGCACCTCTAAAAAATTGGTTTTGGATTCTTTTTCTTATTTTAAGACTTTTTCATAAGTACCTTACCTCAACTGCAAACAGGCAGTGAAAATATATTTAAAGTTTTCTCTGACATGGCTTTCTGGTTTCTGCTTTGCTGATTGCTGGCCCCTACTTGTTTGGCCTCATAACTCTAGAGATTCATAATGTTGACTCTCAGAAGAATCTCCCAGAGAAATGTGGAGGCAAGAAACTTTCTTCTATCCATTAAAAGATACATTATTCAAATATTTTATGAAAAGAAAAAGGTCACGCTCTTTAAAATGACATGACAATTCATTGAGTTACCAATAAAGAGAATTTATCTTCTGAAAATAGTTTATCCTGGTAACTAATAGGCTTCCATTAATTCTGAAGGATTATAAGAACCTGACTTTTGCTGAGTAAATAATAATCATGAAAACCACAATTAATCTTTAAAAAGCAATGTTTTGACAAGCTTCCACTTCATAATAATATTTGCTCTTATTTTAAATTTTTTTATAGGACCTTGTCTGGTTATGAGTTAAATAGTCTAAAATCTTAGGAAAAGGGGTCAATAACTTTTTTATTTCTGGAGTACTGGATCATTCAAAAATCTTTAAGTAAACAGTGACATATGAATTTTCAAAAATACTTCAGAAATATACATTCCATGCATATTCTAGCCTATTCGACCTCAATATTTATTGCATCTGGGGAGAAACTAACATATTTTCCAATGCTTTTGGAAAAAAAAAAGTTATCAGTTATGATTTATGTTCATTTGCAATATGTGCAATTTATAAGGTTCAAATAATTCTCTCTCTTTGAATTCACCTTGGATATTTATACAAATTGAATAAAATTTTAAAAATTCCTTTCTTATTTTATGTCACTTTGATTTTGTGAAAGAGAAGAATAACATTGTGCTACTGTTTTATGGAATGGACTTCGAGTTCTTCAGCTTGTTAATGCAAGTCGGAGTTCCCAACAGATGATGACCAGGCAAAGGATATTACTTCTAGAGTCTCTCTAAATAAATAGCTGCCACATTAAAAAAAGGAAAATACATGAGTCATAATTAATATTCAGTTTCCAGTGAGTGCTAGCCCAAGAACACATGGTATCTCCTGAATTTCATTTTTCATTACAAAAATGCAGTCTCTCAAAGGAAACACGCTGTGGTGTAGGCTGATGAATTCATAACTAAGTTACCATCATAATAACATTAATCTTTACTAATGTGTTTTTCAATTTTCAGTTAACAATACTGTGGTTCAAAAATATACTGTGTTCCCAAACAGAAATTAGAAAATATTGGCACTTGATATTTGTTAATTTTACTTTTACAAGAACTCGTATATAGTCTTAAATTTTGTTCTGTTGTTTTACAAAATATAATTGTATAATTTGTTCACAGAGCACAAGATAGTACAGTATTAAAAATATTCATGGTTCAATTCAGAAAATTTAACTGAAAGTTCAATTCATTCAATAAAAATTTGAACACCTGCCGTGGGCCTGACTCTACAGTTAATTTTTAACAATTGAAATAGGTTATTAGTGCTTTCTTTAATACAATCCTGCTAAAAGAGTTAACATAGCTAAAAAGTCAGGTTATTTTGAGCTCAAAGGGTTTGAGGGAAAAAAAATCACCTTATTTTTGCCAAGCCTACATTTGACATCAGCTTCAGAACATTGTGTCTCCCTAACATAATTGCGAAGCTTTTAGTTGCTTGTCTCGCAATCAATCATGCCATTGTGGTATTCAAGGGTCTTGTATTTCTGTATTTCATAAATGTATGCTTTTCAAGCATTTCTGGGTCTTATTAACACAAAAGAAAGCAACTTCATGTATGTGTGCATCTAAGGTCTCTTTAGATCTAAATCTCTATATTGTACAGTATCCATAACTAAGAACTAGACATAACATTTTATCCATATATTTTAAACCTCTAGGTTGAGCTGCATTAACAGCTAAGGAAATTTTGTTATTCTCCAAATTGCCTATCATGCTGCTGATGGGGAGAAAGTAATACATTCTCATAAAAACTAACACATTCCTACATAGAAAATTCTCAATAATTTTTATTTAATTGATTAAAAGAAAAATTTTTACCAATTAATATGAGTTCTAAAACAGGATTTCTGAGATTTATAAGCCAACACAAATATTTAATAAAGAGCATTGAGGCCCTAAAATGTTAAGTAACTCTTAATTCAGTATTTTACATTTTCATGCCCGATTTCAGGGGTCCTCAACCCCCAGGGCCATGGATTGGTACTGGTCTGTGGCCTGTTAGAAACTGGGGTGTACAGCTGGAGGTGAGCACAGGGCAGGCAAGCGAAGCTTCATCTATTTGCAGCCACTCCACAGCATCACTGCCTCAGCTCCACCTCAGCTCCACTTCAGCTTATCAGGCATTTTTTTTTTTTAGGTAAGGCAACCCATGGTTGACCTCACAGATTGCAAGGACCTTGTCAGTTTACAATCCCTTAATTTTTTTATTTTTTATTTTTTTACACCTACAGCACCTGGTCTTCCTAGGTGGTCTCCCATCCAAATACTAATCAGGCCCAACCCATCAGGCATTAAATCCTCATAGGAGCACTGGTCCTTGTTGCCAAAAAGGTTGGGGACCACTGCCTGATTTTGTACGGTTTCCACACAATTCAAAAAATGAATAAGTAAATCTATGGTTTATTTAATAGCATAAACTATATCCAGAGAAAGAATTAAGGCTCAGTCTTGTTGAGGACAAAGAAAATTTCACCAAATTTACCGATAACATATTACCTTTCAGAGATTAAGGAAAATGTAAGTGCTTTGGACTTATAAATGCATCAAATCATCATCTCATTCACAGTTCACACACCTTTTCCGTCCTTCATGGGCATAAGGTCTCTTAGATGTATATATATATTATGAAGAGAAGAAAATCTCCATGTTTAGCAAGGACCTAACACCACTCTTTCAGATATATGTAAAATATGGGAAGTACAACCTTTCTATGTATCCATATGTATATTTCCTGAAAATAATAAGCATGATCCATACACATAGAGATTATTTTAACACACGTGTGTTATACTAGCCTGGTACTTTTCTGCACGTTTCAATTTTTTTCATTTAGAAATAGGAATATCATTACCTTTCTTGCTTCTTTTATCATCTTCCGAATTGTTTCCTTAATTGTCAGTAGCTGTGCTCTTGGTGGATGAAAGAGGAGGTCTATGTGGGTTCCTCCTAAGAGTCCAGGCATCACATACGGCCAGCCTAAATCAAGATTTGGAGCTTCCACATCAGACTCAATGGGCCAGTAAGTCCCGGAAGATGAGGTATCATCGCAGGAATTATCAGTATTATCGGTACCATGTGATGTACTATGTGCAACTTTCTGGACGTTTTTCAAAATATAATTAATTTCTTCCTCAGCTAAAAAGTCCGATACTCGTTCCTTGGCAAGAAATTCTTGGTATGCTTCTAACCCATGTTCAATCAGCAAATCGATGGCTACTCGATACCATTCCTTATAGTGAGGCTCAATGTAATTGTCTGATTTACACTCATCATTCAATGAGGACAGCATTGATGAGGTCTCCATGCTTGCAAGTGTTTTTCAACAGCACATTCAAATGTCCATTTGTGCAGCAACAAGAGGTATCTGGGTGTTTGAAAAGAAGGAAATCAAGATCAGTTAGAAGTCTTGTAATCAAGTTTTATAATCCATGTCAGCTATTATTTTTACATTTACTAATTTCCACTACCCATAGCTCAATCTAACATACATTTCATATCCAAAGTGACATTAATTGTACCATAATTCAAATAGCTACCACAAATAGATTTCTTTTTGTAGACTGCTAGTTGATTTATCGTTTCCAAGGTACCTCTACTTTCAATTTCTTACCTAAGGAAATACACCTTCCTTATCTGACATACATAAAGTTCATCCTTCTCTAATCTGAGACTACACAAAGTGGTATCGGTTTCTATAAGACTTTCAGATTTTGGTTTTAAAATATTTTAAAACAATTAGAATATAATCAGTACCTGGCCAGCCATTAATACAAGGCTTTACTGAGTACTTGTTATGTAAATAATCACATACTGATGAAATATAAAAAGATCAAAACCCTTGCTTTCCAGGAATTTATTAACTAGCTGAAGAGGTAAAACACACATACGAAACTATTATCACTTTGAACAAAGCCATATATTGCTAAGGGCCAAAATGAGTACTACATGTCATCAACGTGTTCAGATAAAAGAAAGTAGAAATCAATATGGAATAAACAAGTTAAGGATAGCCCTGTGCAGGAGGTAGGCTTCAGCTGAACCTGGGGTAGTGATTAAGAATATGATCAAATGGCAAAAACAAATATTTTAATCTCACGCGAGAGTGAAAATCAAGCAAAAACACAGAACGAGTATAAGCTTGTACATTCAAGACAGTGAAAAAACTTGGTCTGCTAGAAAGCAGGTTCCTTTCAGCAGTAGGAGATAATGTTGATAGACATGATGGAACCAGGTGTGGAGGGACACAGGCTATTTCTGTGATTCAGCAAAACTTGTTTTTAAAACAACTAGTCTGGCAGTATCAGAGGGAATGGAGAAGAGACAAGTAGATACGAGAGTCTTTCAACATTCAAATAGCCAACGAAGAGGTGACAAGAGTATTCAATAGATGATTCAAAGAAAGAACTCCTAAGATTTGATGGTTTGACAGCATATAGGTGATGAAGAAATTTAAGACATCAAAGATAATTCAGAGATCTCTCTGAGGAATCAAAATCTGCCTTTTCAAGCTCACAGCCTATCTGTCATAATGCCAACAAAATGCTATTCATTCAATCGCTCACTGTGTGAGATAGTGGACTGGACTTTAGCGCAAAAAAAAAAAAAAAAAAGGGACTTTCCAGTCTTTTGAAGTCATGATCTCCATTGTGTGGATTCAAACGAAATACAATTCTATGATGTGCTTACAAGCACAAAGAGCTAATTTCACCAAAAACATCTTTGTTAGAGGCGCTGCTCTAATTTTAAATTTTCCACTTAACAGCCTCTTCAGACTCAGATCTGCCAAAATTCAAATCTGATTTGGGATGGTAACCCAGGAAGCCATTATCTTTATATACACATTAGCTCAAAATACATAATAGGAGTCACTAATCATATAGCGAAGTTGTGATGAAATAGACAACAGGGCCACAAGTTCTGCTGGGCAGGACAGGATCAGAAAAGATCCATCATATACTAAGGCAGAGCTGAGAAGTAAGAAAAATAGAGTCCACTTTACTGTTTTAGTGGAGACAATCCTGTCCCTATCCCTAGTCTCAGAAGTTTTACCAAGACGGTCTAATAGTATAGAAAGCCTAAAGATTAAATCTGACATAAGAATAAAAACAGAACACGTTCATGCTACTGGCATGTAGTGTGTGGAGGCCAGGGATGTTGCTAAACATATTTCAGTGCACGGACAGCCACCCAGATTACGGAATTATCTGGCCCAAAATGTCAATAGTGCCAAGCTTGAGAAATCTTCACGGACTTGCTCATTTTATATGCATGATGTCATAGTAATGACCTTTTCAATGTCCATTAAAATTCATTTTTGCATATGATGCTCATTTATAACAAAGAAAAAAGGTTTCTGTTTAACAGAAGCAATCCATTTAAAGTATACTTCCTAAGGTTTAGCGAGATGTGATTTTCATTTGATAATTCTAGTCTATGTGGGTCAAAGCATCCAGTGATCACATGAAAATCACATTTATTATTTGTACTTGTTAAAAATGGTAGGTGACTGCTGGTTGTTCAAAAAAAAAAATCTTAAGTTTCCTTAGCACTTATTTATTACTTTTTACAATTTCACTTTTTGACTTCCTATAATATGTGACATTAAACATCTATTACATATTTGGAAATTAAAATGCGCAAGAAACTGTATTTGTTTCTGAGCATTATCTATCAAATATATACTTTGCAACTGCAAAGAATTCATTCTTGAACTATGAGTAAACTAAGAAATCATAGAGATCAAAAGAACTATGAAAGCAAAACTATAAAAGTATAGGTGAAAAATTAATTACAAAGGCAAAAACAAAGATGAGAAAAAAAGTGAAACACTATAGGACTAATCAAATAGCAATGCCAGCTGGAGAGAATGCCAGAAAACACATCATAGAAAAAATGCAATAGCTATGAGCATGGAAGTTGATACAGTATGTACAAGAGTTAAAATACTGTCTTACTGGAGAGGTAATACTCTACTGTCTAGAGATACGCATTTATCACAAGAGCTGTTTACAAGGGATACTTGTGAAAGAACCATCTACAAAACAAATTTCAAGGGGGAACACCAAGGTAATGGCACTTACATAAATGAGTACTACTATAAAATAGCACCTGTATTTAGATAAAGACCTAACATTGAATTCTCAAGAGTTCAATCACTGAACATGTAAAGGGCTTAATTTGAGAACAAAATTAATTGGGTATGCCTTTCAATATATAAAAGAATATTATTTTATTAATAACCATTAAAAACTCCTAGAAAGGATATTAACATACACAATAGAGTTAATGAGAAGAGAAAAATAATATGCTGATGTTATGTAAAAGCTGAGCAGGCTGCTAGGCTCATCTACTTGTTAAGTGACCTACTCTAGAAAAAATACCCTTGTAAAATATAAGATTCCATTCACACTTCAAAACAATTACAAATTATAGTTGATATTGAATCTTTAGTGTCATTGGTGGAAAGTAGTTTCGCCAAGTATTGAATCTGTAAACACAAAGGATACAAAATGAAGCATAAAACACAGATTTCAAAAACAGTTTGGCAGTTTCCTTTATAAAACTAAATATGCAAATGACATACAATGCAGCAATTGCCCTCTTGAAATTTATCCTAGAGAAATTAAAACTTATCTTCACACAAAAATTTGTACATAAATGTTCACAGTGGCTTGACTCCTAATGGCCCCAAACTAGAAACAACTCGAATATCCTTCAACAGGTGAATATTAAACAAACTGTGGTACTATCATACTATGGAATACTACTCAGCAATAACATGAACAAATTTGATACAGGGTGAAACAGATGAATATCCAGAGAATTATGCTGAGTGAAAAAAAAAATTCTCAAAAATTACATGCTGCATGATTCTATTTATATATTATTCTTAAAATGACAAAATTATAGAAATGGAGATCACATTAGTGGTTGCCAGGGCTCACCTCATTGAGTCATTCTGAGGAAGGTGTATGGAAGGAAGGAAGTAGATGTGCCTCTAAAATGACAACAGGAATGAGTTTTGTAGTGATAGAAATGTTCTGTATCTTGACAGTGTCAAAGTCAATGTACAATTCAGACATAATATTATAGTTTTGCGAGATGTTGCCACTGGGGGGAAACTGAGTACAGGATACAAGGAATCCTTCTGAATTATTTCTCTCAACTGCTTGTGAATCAACAACAATCTCAAAATAATAAAAGTTTAACTAAAAAAAAAAAATCATACTGATGACCAATTTCATGTGCCTTGAATAGAAAACAAAAACAAAATAATATATAACATAGAAGGTGAGAGATTGTTTGTAGGGTCAGACTGCCAAGTTCGAAACCAGCTTCTCCAATAATTGTAAAGCTTGTGGAAAAGTAACCTATGTCCAGAGCCTCAGTTTGGTCATGTGTAAAAAGGATAACAGCAGACTTCATCTCACTGAGTCATTCTAAGAAATAAATGAGGTAATTCATTTAAAGTATTTAGCTTTTAACATTATCATCGAATATTTGGCTTTTAACATTATCATCATCCTCATTATTATTTTATATTTTAACAACCCGTTACAGTGTAAGTGCTATAAAGTTACAAAAAGGTTTGATCATAAGAGTTTTTTAAGATTCAAAAAAAGTTAGTGGTCTGTCATACTATCAATAGTCATTCATTATTTCATCAACTGCGATATTAAACAAACAGCCAAACCTAGGGTCAATTTGTTTATGATTTCTAATAAGAGGAGATTCTCTGAAAAGACTTCTGAGACAATAAGTCAATGGAAAAATGCTTCAAAGAGAAATTACAATGTTCTTAAATCACAAATAGTCTGAGGTTATAATTACTAAAGTGCAAGCAGATGACCCAAAATCAAGACTCTGAAAGAAATCCAAACAAGGATCACAGATGCTAATATTTCTGAGGTCTCTTTTCCAACTGCTGTCTTAGACTGTTTCTATTTAACTACTGAAAGCTGTTATAGGTTGAACTCCAACAAAATGAATTCAGGTACAAACCCTCAATACCATGAATGTGATATTATTTGAAAATAGAGTCTTCTCTGTAGATATATTCAAGTTAAGATGAGGGCATATTCAATTAGAGTGGGACTCAATCCATTATGACTGGTGTCCTTACAAGGAGAGTTGATACAGACAAACACATGGGTACAACATCAAGTAATCACAGAGGCAGAGATTGGAACACTACAAATTATTAGCAACACCAAAGTTAAGAGAAAGGCCTGGAACAGATTCGTTTCTAGAGCCTTCAAAGAGGGCATAGTCCTGATTACAGCTTGATTTAGGACTATGTACTGGCCTCCAGAACTCTGAGAGAATAAGTTCTGATTAAAAAAAAAAA